GTTCAGTTCTAACAGCTCTTTACCCCTATGAGTAGAAAGGTTCTTGAGCAGAGAAAGCGGGCAGAAGAAGAGGAGGAGAAATGGAAGGAGAAGCAAAAACAGAGAGAGAAGAGACTACAAAAAGTGGTCACAAAGCGAGCCCAGGAGAATGACCTGCATGTGGCCCTGGCCCAGACATGCCAGTCCAAACTAAAAGATTTCAGGTAAAGCAATTGAGCCTCTGCTCTTGAATTTCTCAAACTACACTCTTAAAAATAAAGGTTCTTTATTGGAATTGATGGTTCAATTAATTTTTCCATGGATATGCATAGAAACTTTCCATTCCACAAAAGGTTCTTAGATTATTAAAATTTTCTTTACGTTAATAAAAAAATAACACTTTATTTTAGTTTTCACTTTATTCATGTTTAGTTTCTAGGGTGTTGCTAGGTTTTTAAGGTGTTTCTAAATGGCTCTTCTTTTGCTTTCCTATGAAAACTCCCTTTTGGAACCTTTATTTTTAGAAGTTTTTGTAAACATTGGAGACATTTTCATATTCAGATGCAGATTTCTTGCATATATCTCATATATATGTGCACATGGGAACAGGAAACAAGATCTTCAGAGACAAAGAGAGTACCAGGAGGAGATGAGAGAAATCCAGGAAAGAGTGAAGGGAAGACCTCTGTTACTGGAACAGGTAGCACAGGTGAGTTTTTATCTATTTTAATTTTTAATTTTGCAATATTATTTTTTACAATATTAATATTACTCTACTAGAAATGTTCATGGTGATGATAATGCAAAGTTCTCTCTTTCTTAGATGAATGCTAAGAGAGCAGCAGAAAAGCTCTACTCTGCCACTTTGCATGGATGTGGTCTGAGTGAATCCTTTATCAGCAGTAAAGCTCCTAAAGACTTGAAACACAGACATACTCCAAGCCCCGCCCACTCCGGCAGCCAAACTCCACCCACATACAGGTATAAGAGCCAACATACATTTTGTTCTGATGCATTTTAAAGACATTTTAGAAGTGCATTCAAAAATAAGTAACGAACCCGCACACTATCAATACTTGCTCATTCTTGAACTTTATTAAACGCAACGTTTCGGTCCACTGACCTTCATCAGGCAAATGTATAGAATTAAAAACAAGACATAATTATATACTTTCACAATCAATGAGTATAATTGACAATCATGTGGACTAATTACAATTGTCATTCAGATTCAGATTTTATTGAAAAGTCTGGGATTATGAAAAAGAAATTTTTGGATAGAGGATATCCCTCGAAATGGGTTGATGATGCTTCTGACACCGCGCTTCAAAAAACACGTACAGAGTTGTTAAATAAAAGGACAAAACGTACAAAAAAAATAATCGTTTATTTTTATTACTACTTATTCATCTACATCTTACCAGATTAGAAATATTTTTAAGAAACATTGGCATTTGCTGTCTTCGGATCCTGAGTTGAATCACCTTTTCCAACATCCACCGATGATTGTATATAAACGTTCCAGAAATTTGAGGGATTTTTTGGTGCACGCCTGCTTTCAAAGTGCCGCTCCTCCTAGATCCCAAACCTTATTGAGTCCTATACAGAAGGTATACAGTATATATATATATATATATATATATATATATATACTGTATATATATATATTGTGACACTTAGCGTGACACACGCCTGCTTTCAAAGAGCCGCTCCTCCTATATCCCAAACCTTATTGAGTCCTATACAGAAGGGAAATTGTCATTGTGGCAATTGTGCACAGTGTAACAATACATTTAAAACGTCTGTTTTTTGTCATCCAAGAACAGGTAAAAAATATAAAATGAACTCTGTGATCACGTGTGCTTCAACCCATGTTGTATACCTTATTTGATGTCCATGTGGACTTTGCTATGTGGGAAAAACATCTCGACAATTAAAACAAAGGATCACTGAACACAAGAGCTCTATAGGAGAAAGGATAAGTCATATCCAGTTGCTGCACATTTAATTTATTTTAATCATGACGTGTCTGCTCTACGTTTCTTGGGAATTGAAACTTCTTAACTTTGCAAACTTTATCACCCTTAGGGTTAAATGATGAGGCATTATTTAATATTATGTTGTAAAGTGTGTTTGCTGTATATCTAAGTAACAGTGTGATTAAAAACAAGGGGATGATATTAAAACCTTGTTAAGATGTGCGGTTTCTGATAACCTATTGTGATTTTATACACATAATTATTTTTGTATGTGAATAATGATATCTTTTTCATTGGGGATGTTGTAAAGTGTCTTCTATTGTATACTTGAGCCATTGGTATCTATTACGTATGTGTTTGTAATTAGTCCACATGTGATTGTCAATTATACTCATTGATTGTGAAAGTATATAATTATGTCTTGTTTTTAATTCTATACATTTGCCTGATGAAGGTCAGTGGACCGAAAGGTTGCGTTTAATAAAGTTTAAGAATGAGCAAGTATTGATAGTGTGCGGGGTTCGTTACTTATTTTTGATTCAACTTTTTGTTTGATTTTGTTCCCATGCACCTATCCTCGAGTTTACATTGATTGAGAAGTGTATTCAAAGAAACACTTCACCCAAAAATTAAAATACTGCTAATTTTGCACATTTAAAACCATATTTATTTTTCTCAGCGTCTCAGAATTGTTTTCATTCATTCTTTTATAGTAAAAACAGAAATGAAGACCATGAGGAATTTCCAGACTTGCAGGATTCCCTTCTCGATGACTATGCAGATGATTATGAGGAGTATGACCATGACATGGAGGCAGGACACATGGACAGAGATGAGGATGACAGACACAATGAATGTCATGACACTGATGAGGAAAAGGCCAATGGTGAAGGACACTCATTTCATGACGAACTGAATTTTGATGATGATGATGATGATGATGATGAACAGGATGACCGTTATAAAAATGATGACCTCAGCAGTAAGCACAGCCAGAGCAGCAGAGGTAGTAAAAGTAACAACAGTCACCATAGCGACAGGAGCAGAACAGGTAGTGTTAATTAGTTAAGTGACAGAAAATTGGAAAGATCCGAAAAGTGAAGAGAGGACAATGGAGATCAAAATTAGAGAACAACCTACAATTTCCTAAATTTCAAGGTCACTGCTTAGTCCTATATGAAGTTATCCTAACAGGAGTAGAAGGGCAGTTTTTTAAGCATATTTCATAAATTAATTGTATTCTGAAGCTCAGTATAAAAAACTTAAATGAGATATTTGAAAAATAACTCTGATCAAAATTAGAGAACACTTACAGATACCTCCAAGTTATTGGTGTTAATCTGCTAATTTCCTTAATTATATGACAAACCCTATTTAACTGGCAGCATTCCTCTTATTTTCACTGAGATTGCAAGATGGCGGGCCGCTCTGAGGTGACTGAAACCCTGCGACAGGAGGTTGTCCAGATGAAGGCCAAAGGGACGACCCTTTCACCCATTGCAAGAGAAGCTAGTCATTCCAAATCTGTGATTTCTCGAATATTGCTGCTTTACAATGACACTAATTCATTCAAGTCCCCCAAAAAGGCTGGTTGTCCACATAAAACAAATGCACCAAGCCTCTCATCAGCAGAGAGAATCAAAAGGCTAGACTCACCTTTGCTGAGGAGCATGTTGTGTGGTGGACAGAGAAGAACTGGTTCAAAGTTCACTTTAGTAATTAGAGTAAGTTTAATTTATTTGAAAGTGAAAAGTGAAAGTGAAGTGACGTGTGGCCAAGTACGGTGACCCATACTCGGAATTTGTGCTCTGCATTTAACCCATCCAAGTGCACACACACACACAGTAGTGAACACACACAGCCTGAGTGCATAAAGAAGTCAGTGAAAGCTGGAGGAGGAAGTGTCATGGTTTGGGGGATGTTTTCTGCAGCAGGAGTTGGGCCTCTTATACAGCTACATGGAAAAGTGAATGCAAATATTTATCAGAACCTCCTTCAGCAACATGCAGTTCCTTCCCTGCAAGCATCTCCCAATCAGCCTGCAATTTTCATGCAAGACAATGCCCCCGTCACACTGCAGAACGGATAAAGCAGTTCCTTGAAGCTATGAACACTGAAATAATGAAATGGCCGACCCAGAGTCCTGATCTAAACCTGATTGAACATCTTTGGAAAATCATTGGCGTCAAAGTTATGGCTAAGAAACCCACTTCAGTTACTAAAGTCACTCAAAGCAGGGGCCTCTACACTTCCTACTAATTTCTGCCAGCTGTAACCCTCCAAAATATTAGTTGTAATCTTCTTTCGAGCAACAGTGATGAATGCTCTCTAATTTTGATCACTGTGTTTTCCACAAATTAAAGGTTTTGTTGAAATGCCTTGGTTATTTTGTCAAATATGTTAGTGGAACAGTGGTATGCCTACAGCTAATATTCCTTCACATTTTTAGTGATGAAGATTAGCAATATTTCAGAAAAAAAAAAAAAAAGTATTTATAGGTTATTCTGTAATTTTGATCTCTACTGTATAACATTAGCTTGATTCTGCATATTTAATTTCTGTTGTAAATTGTTGGATACTTGTGTACATTGTACGTGTGGGATTATTAATAAGAGAAAAAAACACGTATCTTGCGAAAATTTACTTTACTATTACAATTTTATTGTTTATTAGTTATTTTCATGCTTCGTGAATGTAAATACAAGCATATAAAACATTTTAAACATGAGCCACAGCCTAAAAATACACAACACGGTCAGTTACTGTTTGTACATCAGAAGCAACATCTCAGTAATTTTCCATGCTCCACGCGGTCCGGCCCACCGCACGCTCACGCTGTGATGCAAACCCGCCTCATACATGAGACCAAGCGCGAAAGACGCGCTGGGCTGGGTCAATCCTGATTGACAGCCCCTCTACCCAATCACATGCGTGCAAGGCTTCCGCATCGCTCTCTCCAACCAATCAGCTGCAGCGGAGGGCGTAACCGCAGTCCGAATTTTACGCGGCGCCACGGCCTGAAAACTAAACCGAGATGGAATATGCCAGTCTGAACCGGTTTCAACCGGTCTTGCGTGTGATGCATGAGACTAGAGAGGAGCTGGGTCACAGTCTCTCGCAGATATCTGCTTTCAAAACAACGGTTTTTCTGCAGTAGACAAAAGAATAAACTAACGATTGGTTTGATGCTGTTGTTATAAAACGGAATGAGTAGTTAAAGCGAGCTGTAAACCGCCATAGAGAGAGACAGATGAACTAACACGAGCTGCTGACTGAAAGGGGACTCGGATTCAATCACTGAAGACAATAATTAAAAATAACACCGAAATTGTGTGTTTCGGGGGTTTTCATGTATCGTTTGCTTTGCACTATAGTGTGTTTGGCGATATAGTGAGGTAACCAGCTAGTTAGCAATTGAAGTGAACTTGCTAGGTTTTTTTGAATAGGTTTACATACGCTATCGTGTAAAATGAGATAAATCAAATAGACCTTTTTTTTTACCTCTGGTCTTGATATTGTTTTGACGCGACGCACGTTTCCACGACACTTAACCTTGTTGCTGATTCCTAAACCACGTTAGCATTGTTTTGTTTTTTTTTCCGCGAGGACGAGTTTTGGTTAAAACAGGTAAGTTAAAGGTTGTTGTTGATGTGTTTGGTGAAATGGTTATCCGTTACAAATATTATCTACTACGAAATGTGAGTTGAATGAAGTGCTAGTTTGCTGAAACAGTTCTGATGTTGACCAGAAACGAAAACGCGTTTTGATCCTCATCGCTGCCCGTAACTGCAGGCGCCCAGAGTTCATGTGGGCTGCTTTCTAAAAAGTTTGATCAGTGTACATTAAGGTGACTCAAAAACGTGTTTACTTTTTGTGTTTTTCTAGCCGTGGAAGAAACACACGTTTAATGTGTTAAACTGCAATGTTGGTTGGCACCTTTTAGAAGCTTTTAACTAATAATACTAGCTGTTGTAACGATGATCTCAGCAAAACAGCACTCGGAGTTATAGGTTGTACTTCAGTGCAACTGCATGCTTAAGTATTGTGTTTTATAGACTAAAGTGCACCCACGTGGTTTGAGCCATTGGTTTGGCGTCAGACTTTTAACATCAGAGATCATTTTGGATAAACAACTAATAAAGTTTTAGGATGAATGGTCAAAGAAGGGTCACTGTTGATGTTGATAACTAAAAGATGTCCGTTTTGTTTTGCAGCTCTATGCCGGCAGACATGACCATGTTGGCGGATCACACAGCACGACAGTTGCTGGACTTCAGTCAAAAGCTAGACATCATCCTGCTGGACAATGTAGTCAACTCCATGCACTATGATGTGGGATCTCAGGTATGAGTTCGTTTGCAGAATCCAGGACAATTCTGGTGCTTTGATTGCATTCAAATCATAGTTTGTTGTTTATCAGACATGTACAGTGCATCATAAGTGGTTTGTGTTGTGATAATTTTAGCAAAGACTGGCACAAGAAGTTCTCACCAATCTGAAGGACCACCCAGATGCCTGGACCCGAGTGGACACCATATTGGAGTTCTCGCAGAACATGAAGACAAAAGTATGTCAACATTAACGTTTGGGCTGTCACTAACTATTATTTTGTTAATCGAGTAAACAGACCTTTATTCTGTCGATTAATTGAGTAATTGGATTTTTTTTGTGGTAATAAAAATAGGCCTTTAAAATGACTTAAAGGCACAATATGTAATTTTTGCCACTAGAGGGCGTGTATTCAAAACAAACAAATAGACAAAGGCGTAGTTTGATGACGCTGTGACTGAGTGTGGAATCATGGGAGTTGTCATCTATACCTAAAATGCCTTTAAAATACATATAAAATAGCAATGAGGCAATAATAACTGGTTCAAATAAAATATCAAAAGCAAGTAATCATGGTTTTATTTAGGAAAAAAGTTAAAATACATAATGTAATAAAACAATATTGTCATAACTTATGTACATTATGTATTATATCAAATGCCTGCAGAGGGCGCCAACGGCCTGACGATTGTTTTTACAATTTACAGTGTGATCTAATCCTTGGTTAATATTGACTAAAAACATTTACTTCAAATGTCCACTTAATCTTTATTATTTGGCCACTTCTTTAAAGGGCCATGAAACCCCCCGTTTCAGCACTGATTAGTTCTCACCACAGTTAAAAAAAAAAACGCTAAAAAAGTGGGCGTGGTGCGGAGCGGAGGAGGAAGAGGGCAGACAGACAACACGCACAGCTTCGCCTTCAGACTGTTTAATTTCGCTCCCATCGAGTTAAAAACACAAATAAATGCACAGCCATTTGCACTCTGCATCGAAAACATATACATGAATGCGCTGTTGCACCTCTGAGAACTTTTAAGGCTTATTCTGTGAAGTTTATATAAGCCTTTTGACGGGTTGTGTCACAGAGCTGTAAAAACGGTTATGCTCACCAAGTGAATGAATCGTGTTTGTGCCGAACTCCTATTACAAAGCAAAAACAAACACTCGTCTTCGATCCATGAACGTTTCTCAGTTAACGTGCGCGATGTCATCTCACAGTCTGAAGCGTCTGTCATAGCAAATCAACACATGCTGTTGTGAATAATTAAGCGAAGCGTCTTCTCATAGGATAGGAACACGCAGTCTCATGAATAATTTAATAGACACCGACTCGTCATCGATGTACTATAGTCCATTGCCACGTCACAAATTGTGACATCAATGTCTTCTACGATGTGCAACACAAACACCTCTGCTAAAATCACAGAAAAAGTAGTCTGGGGTTTCATGACACTTTAAGATATAAATGCTAGAGCCACTGTCATTTCTTAAACAAGAACATGTGGCCATCAAAAGATGCAAACTGGGGGAAAAAAAGGGTTTAAACTTTTATTTTGAAGTCATAATGAACAATTAGCATATTTAGAAAGATAATGATGTATTCTGTGTTGGCATAGGGTTGTAAATGATTTACCTTATAAATCTGATAGAATGGTGCACATTGGTCCTAGATGAACATTTATAAGTAAAGATGCATAGACTCGCAGCATGCAAAGATTGATTTTGAGACGATCCACGCATGTAAATGATAACTGTTTGTGTGGAGCAGCATTTACTGTGAACGGAGCTGCTCTTAGATGCACGTAACCTACACGCAAATAAAGCACATATTAAACCCGCAGCACATATTTATTTATTTGAATCGCAGCCTTTGTGAATTCATAATAGCACTATGCTTTATTATGATTTTTAAATGGTTTTAATATTTCGTGCAGCCTTAGAAAACGGTCTAATAATGCTTTTCATGGATTCACTTCTGTTATTTTGCAGGTTAATTGACACGGGCAAATTGCAATCAAGGATTTTTATAATAGAGTACTCAAATTTAATCAAGGAATCGTGACAGCCCTAATTAACGTGTTTCTAAATTTGGCCAGTTTATTGAGTCCTGCTACTAAATTCCAACCTTGATCATTTATTCTGCCACATTAAACTGATATTTATTCTTTTTGCTGTTTGTATTGCAGTACTACGCTCTTCAGATACTGGAGACAGTGATCAAAACACGCTGGAAGATTCTTCCACGAAACCAGTGTGAAGGTCATTCACACACACTGACATTAGCCTCTATGGAAAATCTATTACACACCTCCACATTATAACCTAATTGCCTCTTTTAAGAAATGCACAAATAACTGACATCTCTGTCTGTCTACAGGAATTAAAAAGTATGTTGTTGGGCTGATTATCAAGACTTCCTCTGATCCCAACAGCGTAGAGGTAATTAAAATGTTTTAGATGTTAGATGATAGCCGATGCCAATACCGATATACTGTATATTTCCCTTTGTCAAATTTCACAAAGTCTCTCCTGTGCGGAAATTCTAAACAAATAATTTTTAATTTTGGTTAGTTTTGACCAAAAACTAATTTGTTAGAACTAATAAATATTATTAAAGTTTTTTTTTTTTTTTTTTAATTAGAGTACATTGAAAGCCTTGAAAATAACTATAATAAAATCAGTCTCTGCAGGTTTTTTTTTTTCAGACGGATGCAGTTGAAACCTTAACATGTTATTTGTGGATTTAACATTAATGGATGGTCTAAAGCAAAAGAGCTGTAAAAATTCTAAAAAAATCTTTAGAGCTCCTTGTATTTACGTTTTCATAATCCATTTGAAAAAATATATTACATAATGAATAAATCTGTATATATTAAATTATTTAATTTTCAAGTGTCATGCATGTGATTTTTAGTCATGTAAACTATAGCTTCTGGCCTTTAAAAAAAATAAAACAGACTCCTGATTTTATGACAACCATACTGCTTTATTTATTCAGAATCACAAGTATCTTGATATTTGTGTATTTTACTTTCATTTTATTACAAGTAGGCCAACAGCGCCCCCTAAGTAAATAATTTTATATAATAATAATTTTTTCAAAATGGCTGATGCCGATTTTTATGTTTTAATCCTTTATCGGCCGATTCCGATAATGTTCTGATAATATCGTGCATTCCTATTTTTAATTTTAATTTTAGTTAGACTTTTAGTAATTTGATTGTTTTTGTCAATTTTATTGTTCATTTATTAATTTATTTTTAAATATAGTTTTTATTAACTTTTTTAGTTTTAGTTATTGTAGTACTTTAAATGAAAGTGAGAGATGTTGCCTTGGCAACTAACTGAAAATAAATTTTTTAAATGTTTTATTTTATTGCATTTCATTTAATGTTCGTTTTATTCAAATTAGTAAATTTCAATCAGTTACAACCAAAACTAGAAAAAAATCATTATTTTAAATAAAATAAACAACTGAAATTAAACAAACTTTAAACTTACTTTCAGTTAGCATTCAATTAGTTTTAGTTAACTATTATAACCCTGATTTGTACTAGTCATGTCACTGAATGCATCCATGTTGACTTGTATTTGTGCTCTTACAGAAGGAAGGGGTTTACATAGCAAAGCTCAACATGATCCTGGTGCAGGTGAGTGTCCTTTCAAGAATATCTATAGTCATGATATTGTGAGAGCGAATGGCTCATGGCTTTATCGCTGATGTTGTCTTCCTGTTTGTGTGTAGATTCTGAAGCAGGAGTGGCCAAAGCATTGGCCCACATTCATCAGTGACATTGTGGGAGCGAGTCGCACCAGCGAGAGCTTGTGTCAGAACAACATGATCATCCTGAAGCTCCTCAGTGAGGAGGTGTTTGACTTCTCCAGCGGGCAGATGACTCAGGTCAAAGCCAAGCACCTGAAGGACAGGTACACTTGACCTGTAACACGTGACACTTACAGATTGTGCAGGGTGTGGTTGGCAAAATAGTTGTAGTGATATTTACTTTCTCTTTCTTTTCTTCTTGCAGTATGTGCAATGAATTTTCCCAAATATTCCAGCTATGCCAGTTTGTCATGGTATGTTGCATGCATATTATTACAGCATTAGTGTTTTTATAGTGTTTTTCATTTTTATAATTAAAGGAATAGTTCACCCAAAAATTAAAATTTGCTGAAATTGTACTCACTCTCAGGCCATCCAAGATGTAGATGAGTTTGTCTGTTAATGGGAACATATTTAGAGAAATTCAGCATTCCATCACTTGCTCACCAGTGGATCCTCTGCAGTGAATGGGTGCCGTCAGAATGAGAGTCCAAACAGCTGATAAAAACATCACAATAATCCACAAGTAATCCACACCACTCCAGACCATCAGTTAATGTCTTGTAAACCAAAAAGCTGCGTGTTTGTAGAAAATAAATCCATCATTAGAAAGTTTCTATCTTCAAACTGTTGCTTCCAGCTAAAATATTTATCTAAAATTTTTGTTTCTATAGCTTGCTTCAGTGAAAAAATGTCTTGTCTGTATCCGGAGAGAAATATGCACAGATCAAGACTGTTTACAAGCCAAAACAGTTATGTGGGTGGATTTTGAGAGAGGAAAAGGATTATGAACTCGTATTTAAAGATTTAAAATAAAAAATGTCAAATGATGGATTTGTTTATTAAAAACATTCTTTTTGCTTCACGAGATGTTAATTGATGGACTGGAGTGGTGTGGATTATTGAGACGTATGTATCAGCTGTTTGGTCTCTCATTCTGACTCTCATTCATACTTTTGGGTCAACTATTACTATATTTACACCTCTCATTTTTAAACCTCACTCGATGCTGTGTACATCAGGAAAATTCCCAGAATGCCCCTCTAGTCCACGCCACATTGGAGACCCTCCTTCGTTTCCTTAACTGGATTCCACTGGGCTACATATTTGAAACCAAACTCATCAGCACGCTGGTGTACAAGGTAACACGTCTCGAGGTCTCTAATTGTAACTAATTTGATTTAATGAAATGCTGCTGTAGCAGACTGCTGTCACTCCTCTCACAAAGGCGCACTGTCATTTGTTCAGCTTGCCAGTGCGTAAGAAAGAGAGGGAAATCATTGGAGCGCTGGCTGTTCTCATTGGCTCTCTGCTCAAAGCTTTGTGACTGAGCTGGTGCTCAAACATTTATAGCCTTTCACTTGATGAAAATCATTGAGTGTTCCCGAAAGTTTATCATTTGTGTTCCGATTTGTTCCACAGTTCCTAAATGTTCCGATGTTCCGGAACGTCACTCTGAAGTGTCTGACAGAGATCGCAGCAGTAAGTGTCAGTCAGTACGAGGAGCAGTTTGTCAACCTTTTCACTCTCACCATGATGCAGCTCAAACAGGTACATGCGTGCACGCACACACACACACACGTTTTTTTTTTTTGTTGGAATGAATACTTTTATTCAGCAAAGACTCATTAAATTGATCAAATGCGACCATAAAGACATTTTTAATGTTACAAAGGATTTCTATTTCAAATAGTGCTGTCAATTCGATTAATTGTGATTAATCGCATCCAAAATAAAAGTTTGTGTTTACATAATATATCAGTGTGTACTGTGTATATTTATATATGTGTATATAAATTAATAACGTAATAGTTACATTATTAATTATATTAATTATTAAATTATATACAGGTGCATCTCAATAAATTAGAATGTCATGGAAAAGTTCATTTATTTCAGTAATTCAACTCATATTTCTTAAATATTTTTTTTAACTTGAGAAAATTTGTCATGTACTGTACCTGATATGTATCCAAAATAATCGATATCAAATCGAAAGCTTATGAATGAGAAATGAATCGAGAAATTTGTGTCAAAACCCAGCCCTACTAAACAGTCTCAATAATCAAGCCGTTTTAATTTATATACATATAAATATATACGGTACACACACATATATTGTAAAGTTGTACTGTTTCTTTTAACTTGCCTTCGGATGTTTATTCATGTTTATTTTGTGCTGAAACTGGTATTAATGTGGAGGAGATGATCAGTTCACATGCGCCTCGCGCTGCTGCGTCTGTTGAACTGAGGCGCTACAGCGATCTGTCACTCCACATTAAACAGCGCCAAAATGAATACTGCAATACAATGGACATAAATTGAAATCTGAGACTTTGTTTCGTATTAAAAGTACCAACGCACAATGCTTATTGCGATTTATTGGATGGGAGGTGTGCTTCAATGTTCCATCCATTAACTGAAAACAGGCTAGACTAATCGATTCTTGGGAATCAATATAGTTTTGTAAAAATGAGAATCGATTAAAATCGAGATATCGATATTTTTTTACCCAGCCCTACTGTTTAGGTTATTTGGGGATTAAAAAAAAAGTAGTGAATGGATTTTTATCATTGTAGGGTGGTTGTGTCCACACACTGCTAAGACAGATTTATATGCATACTCTATGTAAAAGTGAATTTTGCATCCGATGTCCCCTTTAAAACTTTCAAATGATCATTTTGTGAATAGCTTGGGAGTTTAAAAAAATGAAAACTATACCAAACCTGCTAGTATTCATTTTTAACCCCTTAACTGACAAAGATCGGCGACGGCCTCAGTTTATTGCGGTCTTACTTTCACAGCATGTTAAAACATCAAACTCTTACTTGATCTGGACAAACTGTGCATCATTAGAAAGATTAAAAACTCTAGCTTCGATATTTGACCAGTTTTGATAAAACATTGTTGCAGTGACAGTAATTTATTACTATCAACAATATAACAATATCTCTATTGTCATATCAGTCTGAGTAATTCTGATTCTTGAACCGTAAACTTTGAAGTGTCAGTTTTGTGAACATATGTTGATTATGTATCTAGTCCGAAAGACTCATGAGCAGCAACCTTTTTATTTTGGGTATGTCATTTGTGTCTCCATGCCGAAAATGGGGGGGGACAGCAAAGGGGTTAAACAATACAACCAATGCACCACTAAAAACTAGTGCAGTTTTCAAAACTATAATAACCTTCATTTACTCAACAACAGATGCTGCCTCTGAACACAAATATCCGTCTGGCATATGCAAACGGGAGAGACGATGAGCAGAACTTCATCCAGAACCTCAGTCTGTTTCTCTGCACCTTCCTCAAAGAGCACGGACAACTGATAGAGAAGAGACTGAACCTGAGAGAGACACTCATGGAGGTACACACAGTCAAATGTAGTGAAATAAACGTTAAAGTGACACACAAACTCCTAATTGTTTGACTCCCATGTGCTCAGGCTCTGCATTACATGCTGCTGGTGTCTGAGGTGGAGGAGACGGAGATCTTTAAGATCTGTCTGGAGTACTGGAACCATCTGGCTGCTGAGCTCTACAGAGAGAGTCCCTTCTCTACCTCCACCTCTCCGCTGCTGTCAACCAGTCAGCACTTCGACGTGCCGCCCCGCAGACACCTCTACCTGCCTGTGCTCTCCAAGGTCAGTTAGCCACAGTGTACAGCAGCTCCACTTCAAAATATTGGTTGCTGGAGAAAAACACTGTGTTCTTAACCCGTCTCAGGTGCGTCTGCTGATGGTGAGTCGCATGGCCAAACCGGAGGAGGTTCTGGTGGTGGAGAACGATCAGGGCGAGGTGGTGAGAGAATTCATGAAGGACACCGACTCCATCAACCTCTACAAAAACATGAGAGAGACTCTGGGTAATTATTATGGGCTGTTCTCTAACTGAGCGGAAAAAGGCAGACGGAGAAAGCTTCATAATGATCTCTTTCTCCTGTCCAGTCTACTTGACTCACCTGGACTATGCCGATACGGAGCGGATCATGACAGAGAAGCTTCATAATCAGGTGAACGGTACCGAGTGGTCCTGGAGGAACCTGAACACGCTGTGCTGGGCCATCGGCTCCATCAGTGGGGCCATGCATGAAGAGGACGAGAAGAGATTCCTCGTCACTGTCATTAAGGTGTTTATTCATGGATTTGTTGTTGCCAGGAAGTGAAAAATTATGCTGAAAATTCAGGTTTGCATCACAGGAATAAATTACATTTTAAAATACATTCACATAGAAAACTTATTTTAAATTGTTATAATATTTCACAATATTACTCTTTTTACTGTATTTTAATCAAATAAATGCAACCTTGGTGAGAAGAAGAGACTTCTTTCAAAAACATTAAAAAGTCTTAACACCAAATTTCTGTTTCTGTCTCAGGATCTGCTGGGTCTGTGTGAACAGAAAAGAGGGAAAGACAACAAGGCCATCATTGCCTCCAACATCATGTACATCGTCGGTCAGTACCCACGATTCCTCAGGGCCCACTGGAAGTTCCTCAAGACCGTCGTCAACAAACTCTTTGAGTTCATGCACGGTGAGGAACCGATTGTGTTTGAGAATTTTGTCTGGTCATGCATGATTTTTAAATTTTTTTTGCTCAAGTGCAAATCTTTTCATAAGGGTTAAATGTTAATTGTAAAGTGTTTCTCTTTCTCTCTCAGAGACCCATGACGGCGTGCAGGACATGGCCTGTGACACATTCATCAAGATCGCTCAGAAGTGCAGGAGGCATTTTGTGCAGGTTCAGGTGGGGGAGGTGATGCCCTTCATCGACGAGATCCTCAACAACATCAACACCATCATCTGTGACCTGCAGCCGCAGCAGGTGCACACGTTCTACGAGGCCGTGGGCTACATGATCGGAGCACAAACAGACCAGACGGTCCAGGAGCGACTGATCGAGAAATACATGCTCCTCCCCAACCAGGTGTGGGACAGCATCATCCAGCAGGCCACCAAGGTGAGAACCAGTGTCATTTTAGTATTACTGAGTTACTGTTACAATTTTTAGTAATGGTTTTGTTACATTTTTATTCATTTTGTTTCATTTTTTAATCTCTATATAGTTCATTTTTTTTTCAGCTTTATCCTTATTTTAGTATATCAAGTTAAACTAAATAAAATGAGAAATGTTTCCTTGGCAACTACCTGAGATCATTTAAATTTTTTCATTGTATTTTTTTAACATTTTAATTTGGTTTCAGTTTATAATTCATGCTTATTTCAATTAATGAATTTTATGATATTAGTTAACCATAATGGCTTATCAAGTTAGTTTTTATGAATTTTTTATTGTTTTATTAATTTTATATTTTATTAATTTTTTCTTTCTTTTTAGTTTTAGTACATCAAGTTAAACTAAAAACTTTTAAATTTGTCCTTTTTTTAAATGCTTTTATGGTTTTAATTAACTAAGAATTATTTTAATAAAGCTTCTCTTTGTGTAATAAACGTAATTTTAATACTCAGACCTCTCCGAATGAAAACCAAAAGGGGTCTTTTAATAGAAAACAGGATTTTTAAAGGGCTCTTTAAAGGGTTTAAACTCTTAAGTTCTAACTACCAAGATTGAAACAGTAGAACCTAAACTCAAAGCACATGATGTCTCTCTTCAATCAGAACGTGGACATCCTGAAGGACCCAGAGACGGTGCGTCAGCTAGGCAGCATCCTGAAGACCAACGTGAGGGCGTGTAAAGCCGTGGGTCACCCTTTTGTCCTGCAGCTGGGACGTATTTACCTGGACATGCTCAATGTCTACAAGTGCCTGAGTGAGAACATCTCTTCTGCAATCCAGAGCAACGGTGAGCCACGCACACCAACATGGAGCACATGACCCAACAACTGGCACATAATAACAGCTCATGATTGACTCTTTGGTTTTTCTCTGCAGGTGAGATGGTGACCAAGCAGCCTCTGATACGTAGCATGCGGACGGTGAAGAGAGAGACACTAAAGCTCATCTCCGGATGGGTCAGCCGCTCTAACGACCCTCAGATGGTTAGTTCTGACATTCCTGGATCAGTCTGCGTTCGTGCCAAAACAATAAGTTGAGTTTGACAGCAGTTCAAAGCGTTGTTGTTGTCTTTTCAGGTTGGAGAGAACTTCGTTCCACCTTTGCTGGAAGCAGTTCTCATCGACTACCAAAGGAACGTTCCAGCAGCTCGAGAACCAGAGGTGCTCAGCACTATGGCAACCATCGTCAACAAGCTCGGCGCACATATAACAGGAGAGATCCCCAAGATATTCGATGCTGTGTTTGAGTGCACCCTCGACATGATCAACAAGGTTAGTTCATCCTGTCTGTCAGTGTAACTCTTTTGTTTTATATCTTGAGTTGTTTTTTCTGAATCAAACCAGTGTAAGTCTGGTAGCGAATATACATTACATGAATATACATGATTAATCAAGATAGAACCAAAATCTTGATATGGCTTACTGTGCTTATCAAATCACCAAGGCTGTGTTAATATAACCATATGTGCTGTGTGTTGCACTGCACCTTTTTCTTACATGTGAGCAGCTGCTTTCAGTGTCTCCGAGCGGCGCGGTTCACAGTGAATGCTTCGCATGAACTCATAAGTTGCTTATGAGCTGCTTATAATGTGCATTTGGGAGTGCAAAGTGCACAAATGCTCTTCTCAAAATTGTAATGAAAAGCATCGTCTCAACAAAAGAGAAGCTTAAGGTTTGCCCTTTTTTTGCCAAAATAAAACTAAATTGTTTAATGTTTGAAAATGAAGAGATCTATAAATGTCAGTATTGTAATTTAACAGTTGTACAAGGGAATAATAATACTTTTATGTATATCAAATTGTTTTAAAATTATTACAATAGTATAATTTCTTATTTTTATCTAGTAATAAACTTAGTGTAACTATTATTAGTAGTAGTATTTTTCTTAAAGGGATAGTTCACCTAAAAATAAAAATTTGGCCTTTGTTCATCTTCAGAACACAAATTAAAATATTTTTGATGAAATCCGAGAGCTTTCTGACCCTGCATAGACAGCAACACAACTGAAACATTTTATGGCCCAGAAAGGTAGTAAGGACATCGTTAAAATAGTCCATGTGACATCAGTGGGTCAACCGTAATGTTATGAAGCTACGACAACACTTTTCGTGTGCGAAGAAAACAAAAATAATGACTTTATTCAACAATTTATTCTCTTTCGTGTCCGTCTCTGCCGCCATTGAAGACAGTACCATGATGAATGTGTGTGCATTCCTCTGCTTGTAAACAAGGTGCTGCTCATCGGGGTTCTACATCAGAACGCCGGCTCCTGCGTCAGCAGCTTCACAGGCATGCGTCGTGCTACTCGCGTGAATGGCGGCGGAGCCTGACATGGAAGAGAATAAATTGTTGAATAAAGTCGTTATTTTTTTTTCTTAGCGCACAAAAAGTAATCTTGCAGCCCTACTTTAATGCTCTGTGTTTTGCCTCTGTCAGAACTTTGAGGAGTTCCCCGAGCACAGGACGCATTTCTTCTACCTGCTGCAAGCAGTCAACTCCCAATGTTTCCCAGCATTCCTGTCCATCCCACCGGCACAGTTCAAACTGGTTCTGGACTCCATCATCTGGGCCTTCAAACACACCATGAGAAATGTAGCCGACACAGGTGAGTGGAGAGAACTGTGGTTAAACAAATAAACATAAATAAATACTCTACACTACTGTGTGAATGCAAAGCGCTTCTGGTTACATTCAATTTTACAAATTGTGGTGTTCAGAAATACAATTTTTAACGGCTAAGCATTCGTGACCCATGACGTTGTTTTTGCACAGTATGTTTTTGACATTAATTGACATTAATTAATTGTGTGTTTGTGCGTCTCCAGGGCTTCAGGTCCTGTTCACCATGCTGCAGAACATCGCACAGGAAGAGGCGGCAGCTCAGAGCTTCTATCAGACCTACTTCTGCGATATCCTGCAGCACATTTTCTCGGTTGTCACGGATACGTCTCATACTGCTGGTCAGTTGCTAGGCAGAGAGAGAGTGACATGTTTACAGTGTAACTAATGGAGGTGTTATTTTGAACAAAACGGCTTCACATCAGTCACACAGTGAACCTCACAAACACTTGTTCAGGTCATTTTTCACCTGAAATAAAGGGGGGGGGGAACAAGATTTTAGGCAAAATATTCAAGATTTTTATTTGTCACATACATGGTTATATACAGAATATATGACCAGCAGTGAAATGTAAGTCAGGTCCGCTCCATGGACAGTGCAATTATTAAAGAATGCAAACACAAGAAAAATATATATAAATATAGGTATGGAAAAAGATTTAAAAAAAAATATGAATAAAATAAAATGTGCAGGACAGTATACTGTAGACTTAATAAATATTAGATATATTTATTATATTTATTATATAAATATAAAGAAAATGGGATTTGTTTTGAGCTTTGACAATTATTTTTATAGTTATTATTATTTGCGTACATTATTATTATCATTCTCATTCAAGTATATAACATTTAAATTGTGAAATGACTTAATTTATAATGAATTAAACATACTAAAACAAAATATTTTAGTGCAATAATCATATTGAAAATTACAGAAGTCACTCAGAAGTTAATTCAGTGTGTGTGTATTTGATGGGTGCTCTGTCGTTTGTGGCAAGCAGGTCTGACGATGCACGCCTCCATCCTCGCCTACATGTTTAACCTGGTGGAAGAGGGTAAAATCAGCGTCACTTTGAACGCAGGCACCACGAGCAGCAATCAATGCTACGTGCAGGAGTACGTGGCCAATCTGCTGAAGACCGCCTTCCCACATCTGCAGGAGTAAGAGCAGCGTACAACATGATGATTGTGTTTTCAGTGTGTTGTCGTTTTCATGTGTTCATGTTAGGGATGTAACGATTAACTGTGAGCCGGTTGAAAATCGATTCAATAAATTGTGAATCGAATCGTGAAATCAAAACCGTGAATTGAATCGAATCGTGAGTTGAGTGAATCGTTACATCCCTAATACATTCCCACATCTGCAGGAGTAAGAGCAGCCTAGAGCATGATGATTGTGTTTTCAGTGTGTTGTCGTTTTCATGTGTTCATGTTAATGATGTTTTTTTCTCACAGTGCCCAGGTGAAGGTTTTTGTCACGGGTCTGTTCAGCTTGAATCAGGACATTCCTGCCTTTAAAGAGCACCTCAGGGACTTCCTGGTCCAGATCAAGGTATGTCACTTCCTTCCGGCTAGATTTTGACTTCCTTCTCTAGTCATAGACCAGTGCATAGCCAGCCAAAAGTTCACAATATAAATGGGTACACACATATGAGGAGGGTTGAAAATTAACTTTTACCCCAACAGACACAGTGTTTGTTTAATACCCACCTCAATTTATAGAAGTAATAATAATTACAATTAATATTAATAATGATAATAATAATATAATTTATTTTAATTGATTTTAATAATTAATAATTACATAGTAATAATACCAACTAAAATGCTCTTTTATCAAAACAATTGTATTGATACTATTAACTATTCATTTTTAATAATTAAAATGCTTTTTTATTATTTCTAAAATGTTATTACTTATTAAATGAAACATTAATATTAATAAAATTCTGGTATGTAATACATTAATAATAACAAAATGTTATTGCGCATGTTATATTTTAATAAATATGAATGGTAATTACATATTAATTAATATAATTAAAATGCCATTATTGTTGTTTATTAAATGTTAATAATTATTCATTAAATAATAACCTTTAATAGTAATAAAATGCTCTGCTATGAATAGCAATAATACATTAGTAATACTAATAATAAATTATTGTGCATAAGTGTTTTAATTTACAATAATGACAATTTTTAATATTAATGTTAAGGAAATATTAAGTTAATTTAATTTATGGTACATTATGCTAGTTGTTGTGGTTTATTATTATTATAAACAATCTTGTGGCATTCACACAGTTTCTGGCCTTTAAAATGGATATGAATCTGTTTTTGATTCTGAATAACATTCCCAAATCTAGTTAATACTGATTATAAATGGATGCATTGTTTATATCTAACATTAAAAAATGCATTTCTGTAAAGCTGCTTTAAAAAAATAAATAAATAAATAAATGTAATGTGAAACGTGCTATACAAATAAGCATGACTTGACTTGATACAACATTGGAGTTGTTCCAGTGGGCCATTCAAAATCACTCAGATTGTGTGTTTGCAGGAGTTTGCGGGTGAGGACTCCACAGATCTGTTCCTGGAGGAGAGGGAAGCGGCTCTGCGTCAGGCTCAGGAGGAGAAACACAAGCTCCAGATGTCTGTCCCAGGAATCCTCAACCCTCATGAGCTCCCGGAGGAAATGTGTGAATGAGCACCAGGACAGTTTCACACTCATGAAGGAAGCGCTTTAAGCTCAAGCGTGTGCTTGTGTGCGTGTGTATAGAGAAGTAGCAGTCAAATGAGGACAAATAGGAAAATGAATCCAGATGTTGGTTGTTTGTCGACCAAATCCTTGCCAATATGTAAATTAAAGACATGTCTGTTATTAGTAACCTGACTCCTCCCAAACCCTTTGGTTTTACATAACACAGCATTTTATATAACGGAAACTGTCTCTCTCGTATATCAATTTACTGTATATCCTTCAGTGTTTCTGTTTGGTATGTTTGCTTTCCTGTTTCAAAGCACATTACTAATCATTTTAATGTTTTCTCAGCCTCATCTGTTTGTGAATATGTAATATACAGTGTGGCAGGCCAATGAAGACGGACAGTTACTGCGCAGGAAGAGAGATTTGTGTTGTTGAGCTGTGCGGCTGTGTGGCTCATGAACCACAGCAAGTGAATGTGACTGTTCAGGATCAGTCCTGATGCTGTTCCTGTCTTCTTTATTGGGGGTTTGTGTGTGTTTATATATATTTTTTCGTTCAATTGCAGTAAATGAGAAAGACGAGTCTTTTTCATGCTACAGACCCACTGATGTCTTTTCTTTTGGCATAGGGATGTCATTCAAATGAAAGGGTTTGTTCATATCATCCTATTTGTAAAGCTGTGTATTAGTACTATGGAAACATAAAGTTGGGTATTTTTACAAAGCATTGTGTGTGTTTTTCATTTAGCTTGTAGGACTTGTTTAATTTGAATGTTAATTAAAAACATTTAAAATACGATTCTGTAAGTATTCTAGCAAACTTACATTATTTTGTTTAAAGTTGCTACTGTGATACTTTACTAGAGAGTGTCTTATTAATCTTGATAAAGCGATAAATGTTAAATATGCATATTAGAAATATAATAAGAAACCTTTCGTATGAGTGTTGAAACTGACACGTTTTTCAGGATACTTTGATGAATAAAGAGTTCAAATTAAAAACATTGATTTGAAATCGAAATCCTTGTAATATTATACGTCTTTAGTGGTACTTCTGATCAATTTAATTAGTTTTCTTTTAAGGACGCCAAACTCTTGAACGGCAGTGCGTATTTTACAGTGCATTGCAAAGGAGTAAAGATATATATATATATATATATATATATATATATACACACACATATTAATTACAAGGCAAACGGGATTTCTGTAATACAGTGCAGATATCAAAATTAAAACAGCACACGTGCTCGACTACGAGAAATCGCGAGATTTCGGAAGAATGGCCGAAAAGGCCGGAAGCAGGCGTAACGAGAACAGCCGATATGTAACACACGGTCGCCCCTCCCTCTCGATCTGCTAGTTTTCCGGAAAAAGCCGAACGACCTGCAAGACGACTCGGCGGAAACAGCCGGTGCGTCACACAACGTTACCCGCCTGCCTCCGAGCGACCGCGAGCATTCCCGGGAAAACCCGAACATTCCCGAAGTCGCCCGACAGAAACAACCGAAGTGTAACTCCCGTCCCTGTTCATCATGGCTGCCGTATGTACTAGTCTGCACAGTAACGCTCTGCTCGGAGACTGACTCTCCGCTCCTTTAGTGCCTCACATTTACTTTCTCCGCCTCGACATTTCGGCAAATAATCCCGCTTGCATGAGCCCAAACCTCCCTGGTTGTGTTGTCTCATAATAACCAGCCTTCATCAAGCATTTCGTCGGGCCTTAAACACCCCCTTAAAAAGACAGAGAGAAAAACAGGCAACATTTTGTTTCTCCAATGGTCTGAATACACTTTCCGCCTTTATGAACCATGTGTGAGAACTGCGCCGAGCTGCTGGAGGTGCTCAATGAGAGTAAGTCAACAGCATTTGATTGTTTTTTGTAGTTGTTTGCAGCAAGTTGCTAGCATGACTGTCCGAGCATGCGGCTCACTGCCTCGATTCAGCGCAGATTTTTATGTTTAATATTTAAGCATTCACACTTTTTGTCAACGTGTGCATTTAAAAGAGCGTTCAAACACCTTTTGGCTGTCATTATTTGTCTTTTGTTTGATTTTGATATCTGTTTTTTTATTAACGCAATGCTAGTTGAACGTGTTAGCCCCTCATCATTTCAGAATTAAATCGTCAAACAAGATCAGCCACAAAATCTGCTGTTTATTTTAAACGGAAGCATCAGAAAACGTCTTTATGTGTGCGCTGAACATCAGCCTGTTTTCATATGTTTGGAGGCTGATGGGAAGTTGAACTGGCATCAGCATTAGCATTAGCCTAAGCAGAAGTGTTTGACATTGTCATCCTTCAAAATGCACACAGATCTACATCTGATCGCCCAACACGACCCATGCTGCAGTGTAATTCTGCTTGAGCGAGTGATTTATGAGGGTTCATGCGATCTGACAGTCGGGATGCGAGTTTTTAGCAGTCTTTGGCCCGCCGATGGCTGCTGTGTTTGTGTGCTTTGTTGGATGGAGAGAGTGTGTTGGGGATTCATGCGCTTTCTTTGCTTCAGTACTGATGTCTTGGCAAGACAGTGACCGAAATACCACGGTGCAATTGTAGTGAAGGATCACGATGGCTTTTGCATGATACTTTAAAGAACTACTATGATATACATGTCAAAAAAACATCACATTACTATGGTAAAGTCCAAAATCCATGGTACTCTGCTCAGTCTGCTGGTACAGTCATGATGTTAGATATATACCATTGTGGTGAAGATTACCGTGGTATTTCCATGATTATTTTAAAGAATTACTATGATAAATGTTAAAATACCGTGATAAATTCTCCCAAACAACCATGATACTCTGCTTTTACAGTTATAATGTCAGGTGGTACTTTTGGTATATACTATTGCATTGAAGGATTGCAATTGTGTTTGCATAATATTTTAAAGAATACCATGGAGTTACGATTATACATGTAAAAAAAATCCCAAAAAGTGGACAGATAAGTGTGAGATACTGTGATACTGAATGATTGCCACATTGATATACCATGGTATTATATAGTAGGGCTGCACGATAAATCGAAATGAAATCGTGATTCGACAGAAGCTGCGATTGTCATGCGTATCTTTCAGTGAAGCACGGTTCTGTGATCAGCAGTAAATCTCCATCCAAAGGCCAGAGGGCGCTCTCGCGCTGAAACTCCAAATACGCCTCGCAGAAGAAACCCAGAAAATGCCTATCGCTGCAGCTGAATAAACAGAAGATTCAACTGCTTTCATTGATTCAACGTGACTAATAAACACACGACTATGGCAATATATGGTTTATCTGAGTTCTTATTATTATAATTTTCATTAAAATAAAGTATATTTATAATGCAATGCCTTTATCACTGCTTCGAATACTATGAAATATGTTGCGTGCCTTATTCTGTGTAAGAAGCCACATCATCTCACAGAAGGATTTATTTCAAACACTCGACTGATGTTATGAAGTGAGTTTGGAGTAAAAATATGTTATTAAATGTGGTATTTTCACATGCTTTCAGATAAATGCGCATGACAATTGCATTCGATTAATCGTGCAGCCCTATTATATAGTACTCTGAAGAATGCAGCCATGATAATGTAAAAAAAAACAACAACATGGTATTAATGTGTTACCATGTTATAAAAACACTATACTGCCATGGTACATTATATTACCATGGTAAAGTCCAAACAAACATTTTTAAAAACATACTTTGGTGGTAAAGTTATGATGTCAGGTGGAATTCTGATATATATTGTGGTAGGGCTGGACGATATGGCCAAAATTTATATCACGATATATTTCTTAATTAAGATGTGGGCAAAAGTTTGTATTGTATACTGGAAGGATGCGCGTTCTTATCATTCCTCTGTTGTGCTGCTTGTCTATTTCTCTTCAAAGCACCAACTTAAATGCCTATTTTGGCTTGATTGCTTGTGTCACATGAGAAAATAAATAATTGTGCCTTACTGGTGCAGTAGCCTATTTAATGCGGGTGCGGTTCAGGTCGCGGTCTTTATGTCAAACGGGTCGGGTACAGAATTAAATTGGTGCTGGCTGCTGTCGGATAACGGGTCGGGTGTTCTGTTGTGTACTGTGGATGCAGGTTTACCAAACAGGACCCGTGCAGGACTCTGCTTTAAACTGCTTTGCGTCTCTCCGTCAGATAACCTCACGTGCATGATGCGCCATTTCCCGGTATTTCCCTAAACCGACACACATCAATTTATTTTGATTTGTTTTTTTTTTTGTTGTTTTTTGTTTTTTTCAGTTTACGAAAATGTTTTTTGAAATATCGAAATATCGGAAATGTGTTTAAAAATCATATAACCGTTATTGAAAAAAATTATATCGCGATACATATTGATATTGAATTATTGTCCAGCCCTATATTGTGGTATTGAATGATTGCAACATTGATACTCCGTGGTATTAGATATTACTCCAAGGAATACAGTTAAATTACCATGATAATGTAACAGAAATATGATATTACTATGTTACCATGTTATAAAATCACTATACTATCATGTTACATTTCCCCCCAAAAAAACATGGTTTTACAATAGAGCCATAACTAAAATGCAAAATACATGGTGCTATAGTAACATGTCCAAAAACATTAAAGCATAAAACATTTTTCTTTTTCCTGGTAACTTATAAGTGAGTTTTTTTTTTTATTCTATTAGAATTAAATCTCACATGTTGTTGTGCCGTCATTACTTGTTACTCAAGTGTTAGATCACCATAGCTTGAATGTAATGCTGTTTTATTTCCATGTGTTTTTGTGCAAATCTGTGAAGCATTTGCATTTGAAATGTTTTGTAGAATTGTTGTTTGTGTCGACACTGATCCCTTATGACAGCAGGTTCTGTTGCTTAACTGGAAGACGATAGCATCGTGTAAACAAGAGTCATGGGTGCCAACAGTTTGGTGTTATTTATTAGCAACTAATAGGGCTGGTTGATAAAAGCAGCAAATATGTCTGTTAACAGTATCGTATCGCATTTATTTTTAATATATAATTTAATCTTATAGAGGGTGTGAAGCCATGCTTTCCAAATAGTTTTTATGAAATGAACACAATAATGATATTATTTAATAATTGTGGTTAATATGCACAGATTTAATATTAAACGTCAGTGTTTGCTGCTGCTGTTTGCAAGTTATTTCATAGTGTGCATTAGCATGTGCGTTTTTGGCCTTCAGGCATGTCTGGTGTCCTTGAGTGGCAGCCGCATATGTGCATGTGCAGCTTAACATTTTAGCCCTCAAACGCTGTGCTGTATGTAGATAGACATCAGACCCACCCTTTAATTGTGTGGGCCAGTTTGACAGTGTTAATCTGACTCAGCGTGCTGTGCGTTTGCGTTCAGGAGAGAGCTTAAATGCAGTGTTTGTGTGTGTACTCCCTGTATTTGTCAGCAGAAGTCTGTTTATGCATACTCTGTAATTTCACATTTTCTGAAAGGTCAAAAACAGCCAGACAGTCACTGAACCAGTTGTGCCAGACATCATAAAAAGATATGAATCACAGGTAGGCCTGGGCGATAAAACGGTATTGATATTTATCGACGGTACACGTTCTTCGATAACGATAAAAAAAAAAACCGAATGCTATTTTCATGCGAAGTAGATCACTGACAAGCTACCCAAAATCACATTCAACATCGCAGGCGATTCATTGCCGAATCTACGGCTCTGTGTAGTAAATGCCTCTCCATCTAAAAGCACGTGCTGGAGATTTACTACTAATCACCAGAAGCGGCTTTACTGATGAGATTCGCATGAAAAGAAATATAGAAGCTCAATGCGGAGAAGATCTTGATTAGGTTCAACCGAAACAAAGCCATTCACACAGAACACATATTCAGCGCATTTTGACGGACAAATATGACTGCTGCACTAGGGGTGTGCGATATATATCGTCTGCGATAATATCGTAATTGTTGTTTTAACGATGTGCGATTTGACATTATCGTAAAACAGTTTAGTTAAAAGAGGTTTATTCCTTTTCACTGCGTCTTATGTTTTTAAAGGCAATCTGCGTGATGGGCGATTCGGCTCTTTGTATTAAGCAATGCATAAATACATGATGCTGTTTTGTTCATAATTGTTTATGCAATTTACAAAATTATGTTTGATTTATACGAGTTAATTTAGACGTAATGCACGTATTTCTTTTTATAGACCGTTATTTCCTTTGCGTTGGCAATTTAATGCGCTGCATTATTTTGCTCATTGCGCCCTCCTGTGGCTTCGGGAGACAAGCCAAAAGTTTCCTTAAAACCTATTTAATCTGCATATAAAACATTAGAAATTAGATATTTGTTTAAGTTTTATTGTGTGTTTGACTGTTAAAACAAAAAATATTTGTTGTTTGTCCCAACAAATTGGGTTAATTTAAAAATACAGTGGTTAAATAAAAAAAAAAATTCTGTTGCTCTTTGTTTTAAAAAAGGTTATAAAAAATGTCAATAATTATCGATACCGAACGATATGAAACATTATATCGTTGATACATTTTTTGTAGCTATATCGCCCAGCCCTAATCACAGGGCATTTTGACTAGATTTTGAAAGTTCTTCTATAAAAGTGATCTTTGTCATCATTTACTCATCCTCATGATGCTCCAAATCCATATGCCTTGCAAATCCTCTCAGAACATGTTGTAAATTGTAATTGTAAGTAAGTTGTACAGACTACTTTTATAGTGCTTTTTGTCATTTTCGGAGTACAATATGAAAAAAGAGCAGCGTTGAACATTCTTCAAAATATCTACTTTTCTGTTCCGCAGGAGAAATAAAGTCATGCGGGTTTGGAACAACATGAGGGCAAGTAAATGATGACATTTATGAATGTCAATTTTGGTTGAATTAGTCCTATATGTCATTAAGTTCAGACTGTTTTTCTCTTGGAAAGAACCAAGTACTGTAATTCAGTCAGTCTGTGTGTGTGCAGTTTTTTGTTTTTTTTTCTGTGCCGTGAGACTTAGGGATTTTTGGTGCTTTTGTGGTTTTCAGCTTTGATAACAGATCCTCATATCACAGCGCCGTCAAACTGTTTCTCAGTCCTTGCACATAATGCCCTGGATTGTTACTGTAGACCTGTGTGGAAACGGCAGAGGAAAAGAAGACAGGAAAGCCGTTTTAAAGAAAGAAAGAACAAAAATCTCATGTAGGTCAAGGCTAACCAGCTGCTCGAGTGAACTTTACAACCCCAAGGTAGCATTCCCGAGTCCAGCAACTCCCTCGTCACCGTGGAAACCGTTAATTGTGCTCTCTGTGTGTGTGTGTGTGTGTGTGTGTGTGTGTGTGTGTGCGCGCGTGTAGTTGGTTGGGATAGGGCATCTAAATTGATTTTAAAGTCATGCAAATGCAGAATGTCATGTGATCATCTGTAATGATCATGCTTGATATAAGATCTGTGATTTCCACATTTAGTGTTACTGTGAAAAAAATCTGAGAAATGTACGGTAAAAAAGGTTGTCTTAGCTTTACAGTGACAAATACAATCGCAACATTTTAAGTTTTACAGATGGAAATAAAATTTGCTGTAAAATTGTTTTTCATTACCTGAAATAATGATAATATAGCAAAGGACTAAAATCTGTTTTTACCTTTATAATATACTGACAACCTCCTTAAAAACACCAGTGGTACAGAGAAAGTCACATGTCGAATCAAAGTTCATCACAAGTAGCTTCTCCTCAAGCTGAAGTAAATACTAATATATAGAAGGTGCACAGTGTCACAAACACAAAACACAATCATGTTAACACACATGATGCTAAAATAATGCAATAATTATTTAACAACATAAGATGAAACCCAAAACCCTGATGTACGTCTCACTGATGTGAAAAACTAAGAAGAAAAATAATTATTTCAATGAAAAACCATCAAATGTGTCACACACATTTGTCAAAATTGTCACACAGGGAATTCTGGGAGAGTCAGCTGTACATTAAGCAGTATTGTACTGTAAAATTACATTAAGTGTCTCAGTAGTAGTTATAGTTTTTCAGTGTATAACATTAACCAGTTAACAGGTTTTCATGGAAGTCTTTTATCATTAAAATTACACTAATTTTTTACAGCGTGAGAATGCTGTCTTGGACAGGACGTTCTGTCTTGACTGTTCTCTGCCAGTTTCACTGGTTTTCATTTGATGTACCGTGAGTTTGAGTTGTTTTACAGATTTGCTCTTTATTGAAGGGGGTCATATGACGTTGCTAAAAAGAACATTATCTTGTGTATTTGGTGTAATGCAACGTGTTTATGCGGTTTAAGGTTCAAAAAACACATTATTTTCCACATACTGTACATTATTGAACAAGCGCTACTCTACACTGCTCAAATTCACGTTTAAATCATCATTGGCAAATTCTTTAAATATAAAAAATGTACTTACAGGCTGTGTTTCAGAAGCGCCAGACTGTCCTTGCAAAGTTGCACGGCCGGCAGATCCGCTTCGTCCACTGTGAAAGCCGATCTGGCGATCCACAGCGCGAAGTTGAGGTATTTTTCTCAGCGATCAGCTCTAGGCATGACGAAGCGGATATCGTCCTCTTTTGGAAGGCCAAACAAAGTAGTTTCGCTTTCACAACGA